GAATTTAAACAGCATTTTTTCTTCCTTTTTTTTCATTTTTTTTTTTGCCTCAATTTGTTAACACGTGGGGCATTCATGCAAAGGGTCAAGGTTCTACTTTATTGCGCAGATAAAAGCATACATTAAATCCATGTCGTGTTGTTCCTACACAAAACAGTCATGCATTGGTGGAATAATCTCTTAATTTAAATATTACTGACTTGATAGTCTGAGGACATGAAATATTGGAAATTCTGCTTTCAGAGGTGAAGGTACATCTTACTTTCTTCAATTTTTTTTAGACTATCATGAATAGTTCAGATTATGTTAAAAATAGTGTTAGAACTATCACATGATGCGATGGTTAACAATAGTTTTTTTCTCGGGCCTTCTTTAAAAAAATGATTGCTTACCCTCTCCCGACTCAGGAAAAAAATGGGCAGTTACGTAGGGGAATTTGTTTTTAAAATTCAAAAATACTTACGAATATGAAGTTGAAATAGTTATTAATTGGGTGAGAAAGCGAAATGAATCACAAGATACTTGTTTCATGGAGTTTAAAAAGTTTAATTTGGGCCATTTTGGTCATTCAGTCGGGAGAGGGCAAACTAACATTGTAAAGTTTACTGATTGAAATGTCCGTTGTCTGTCGTCGTTTCGTTGTAAACTTTTCACATTTTCATCTTCCTCTCAAGAACCTATCGGCCAATTTTAACCAAACTTGCCACAAAGTCTCCCTGGGTAAAGAACATTCAAGTTAGTACAAATGAATGGCCACGCCTTCTTCCGAGGGGAGATAATTAAATCTAAAAATCTTCTTCTCAGGAACCATTGTGATTGAAAATATGAACGTATGTGGAATCATTGTGAGATAGTGTAGATTCAAGTTTGTTCAAATCATGACCCCCGGGGTTAGGTTGGGGCCGCAATGGGCGATCAAAGATTTACATTGGAATACATAGAAAAAATCTTTAAAAATCTTCTTCTCAAGAACAGCAAAGCCATCATTAGTCATATTTATATGGAAGTATTCTCAGGTAGTGTAGATAAAGTTTGTTCAAACTGTGACCCCCAGTGGTAGAGTGGGGCCACAATGGGTAATCGCTCACCTGTGCACTTTGGCTAGAAAAAGACAGAAGTCAGTTCAGTTTAAAAAGTTAACATAAAAGTGGTTAGGGGGTGATTTGAACAAACTTGAATCTACACTTCCTAAGGATGCTTTTGAGTTAATATGACACATAATGGTTTTGTTCTTCTTAAGAAGAAAATTTTTATTGATATGTTCTTTATGCTCCTTTATATAACTAAGATTAACCGTTTAAACGAGTACTCATTGACGACTTCTAAAAATTTCATTCAAATATATAATACTTTTTGATAGAGGCTGGGACACAGAATTGAAGCTAATATCTTCTAAATTTTATTAAAAAATATCATGACTTATATGTTGCTAGAGCAAATTCACAACGAAACATATTAAAAGCTTGTTAAGAAAATTCTTTTATCAGGAAATTATTAAAATTACGATTTTCGGGAAAAGTTTGATTGACACATGTCCTTGCACTTTCACAAAGTAAACTTTATCCATAATACTTAAGAAAAGTAGATCTTTTGTTGTGCTTTTATGAAAAATATGAAAACTACGAGGGTTGATAGTAAAGTTCCTTAGTGAGCGTATTTTCCAATAAAATTGCCAAGATTTGGTGATTTCTGATGATCTTTAAAAAATATACAACTATTTCATTTAGCTTAAACATGCTTCACGGAGCATGTCACTTTTTTTGCACATTTAAATCACATACACATTTTTGCGAAATCAAAAATTGCACTGTTGTAACGCATAAAGATCTATGATATTTCAACTGTCGCTACAATATTCATGAAACGTAATTTGGCGAAATTTTGAATTTAAATTGGAGGGGATTTGACTGTTTTATAGCTCCTTAAGGGGTTGGAGCCACTCTAGCTCAAGATCCATGATTTGAATATAACTGAGTCTACACTACATGATGATACTTCCATATCAAAATGACTATATGTGGCTTTATGTTTAAGGTTTTTGCCTTATCTTGCATTATCTTTACAAAAGCCAAATTGCGGTCTTGTCCTAGTCTCATGGGCCATGATCATGAGTTGAACAAACTTGAAACTACACTTAATAGGGAAGCTTTTTCCCCTTCTGTCCCACTGAATATTTTTGGAAAAAGAACTTTTAAAGGACACCGATGTATTTTCCGGATTTTTTTCTTTCTCCCCTCTTGATGAAGGCCATATCCTTCAATATGCACATATTTGAACCCTCTTCAACCATTATATTTTGTTGCTGAATGCTGATTGATTGTTGACTGTATTTTGTTTAACGTCCTATTCGAGAATTTTTCACTCATGTAGAGACGTCACCGTATGTCGCTGAAGAGTTTCAAATTTTGACCTATACTCGGCACTCAAGGCCATTGAGCAGTGAGGGTTCTTTATTGTGCCAACGCCTACCGTGACACGGGGTCCCTTTTTTTAAGGTCTCATCCAAAAGACCCATGACTTTCATTTGTAGTGTCGGGTGCTTTGCGAAGGAACAGTCACTACCTATGTTTACGTCTTAGGTTTGACGCGGATGGGCGAACGAGAATCGACCCCGGACCTCCCGATCACAAAGCGAGCGCCCTACCACTTAGCTACCATGATCGGTCATTATAGTTTGTGGCAAATTTGGATGAAATTTGTTCATTAGTACTGTTAAAGAGGAACAAAATTTGACAAAAGACACAAGACAGACATACAGGCTCCGGTAACTGTTATTCAGGGAAGCTCATTTGAGCCTTATGCTCAGATAATTTTTAAGAAAAAAATTAAACACTTAAAACTTTCTTTAAAAAAAAAGAACATGTATTAGTAAATTCTAAAAGTTGTCCTTTGTTTCAAATCTCAATATTTAAGAATTATTTAATTGTTAAAATACTTTGATGAAACAGAAGATTTGAAAAGGAAATTGAAACAAAAATGTTCTATTAAGTTGGAATCACACAAATATCTATTTTTTCGACCACATAACTTGATGTTTTAGAAACAAAGTTAAATTACATTTATAATTTTGCTATAAAAAAAAATCGGGGATGTACATGCTCAGAGGTACTTGCGATAACGTGTATCTTACTCTTATTTAAACACGACTATTTTACAAAAAAAGGTTATCAGATTGTCGATTTAGAATAAAATTTCATGTTCGTTAGAAGAAATGGCAATGCAAATTTTATTGTTATTTACATTGTATCATTTACAGTTTCTTAAACGTACATGGAAGACTTTCGACCACTCCTTTTCTTCAATTTTGATCATAAAGTTGCATTTAATGTTTAGTCTGCAATATCTATTGGTTGAGGGCCAGAAGACCATAAACTGAGAGTAGAATATTTCGAATTTTATTTCAGATACCTTGTTTTAAAAAATGGTAGGTTATAGAATTTTCAAATACAAACACATAGAAAAAAATTAATTTTCCAAATTATTTAGAAAATTATAAATTTTTTTGAATTTTGTCTTAAGTTTGTTCTCAATACATGATCTTGATGTATTGGTGTTAAAAATTAAACAATATCGAATTATGAAGCACAATACAGTGTAGAAAAAATATAAAAGATGAAGAAAGCGAACAGTGAACAATCTCAATAATCCAGAAGAAAACGAATCGTAAACAGGGGAAAATCCTGGATCCATGGAAACATCAGAGTTGGGATCAGGCGCCAAGGAGGAGTAAACATTTCCTGTCCACTAGTCACACACGCCGCGAGCCCCTTTTCAGATTGACGGAGTACTCAGTAGTTAGAATAAAAGCAATAACCTAACAATTAGTATGAATCATGTCACACAAACTAAGACCCAATGATAGGTTTTATTTGCGAACAGGGTCATTATAACGCCAACAGAATTTGCAAAAAAAAAAGCTTACTTTAAACGAGGTTGTTGAAATCCTTGTAACTTATTTGTCAGTAGCTTGCCTCGGTTTAAAAATTGATCGTACACAGTAAATGATCTTGCTTAGCGAGTGACACAGAAGCGAAACAGAAAACAACATATTCAGGTGATATTGCAATATTACTACATAAACAAGGAAGGTTAAAGTTGGAAAAGCTGAAGACATCTCGTTTAATTTGTCATACAGTTTAGTTATTATTTGGCCATTTTCGTCCATAGTGAGTAAAACATCCACATGTGAAATGAACATATGGAGATAATGAATAGTAATCAAGCTCAAAGTCCATTAAAACAATACAAATCGGGGGCAGAGCAAACACAGACCTCAAAAAACATCAGAGGTAGGATCAGGTACCATGGAGGAGTGAGCATCCTCTGCCCACCGGTCGCACCCTCCATGTGCTCATTGTCATGATGGGGAAAAACGAAAAATCCGTGTACAATTCAGTGTAAATAATGGCCTAACAATTAGTATGAAAACGTCAGTCACCATTTGACTTACTGAAAGGTTGTATTTGCTGATAAGGTCATTGTATCGACCATAAAACTTGCGAAATGATGACTTCAAACGAGACTGTTGAAACAGATATAGTTGACTCTGTGGAGATTTTTGAGTTAACTGGGATATATCGAGTCAATATATGAATGAAAGTAAATATTACAAATTGAAAAAAAGTCATCGATATTTCTGAATGTTGAGCTGAAAGCCATTGCAAGAGTTTTCTTCTCATGTAGATCTTTTCGAATAAATTTTGTTTCATAGGAATATAAAAACAAGTAAAAACTAGATAAGGAGCACATTTAGTGCCCGTATAAATTTCAACAGATTCTTAGAAGATCTGGTCGTCGAAGACTACATAGATATTGTCAACGAGGAACACTTTTAATATGAACTTCAGAGTACTGGTTTGTAGAATCAGAATGAGAGACCCCTGCTGAATCTTTTATTCGTAATGGGCTCAAGGTCAGAGGGTAAACGTATGTATGCAGCTGTTTATGCTTACTGCGGACATTTTTGTGACAAATGGAAGATTAAATATATCAAACTCATTAGGAAATATAAATTTATCCAGTTAAAAATGGGTACATCTACATCGACCATCAATGCAATGGTGACGTCCACCATGGTCACATCTTCCATGACAGTCATCAGCCATGGTACATCCTGCAATAACAGTGAAGAATATTAATCTTGATTTTTTAATATAGATAAGGAAAAAATTCATATAATTTTGCTCTATTGGTAAGAATCAAACATACGTAATTCGATACATACCTCCATCACCACTGCCTGCTGTGGTACATGTGCATTGATGGTTTACACAGTGGAGCTCAGATCCAGAAGCACAGCTTGTGGTGCTGGTGGAACAGCTTGCTGTGTCTCTGCACATTTCAGCAGAAACTGAAATGATATATGTATTTATCAAAGGTTCGTATAACGTGTTCCTGTTTATTTATACATTTGTATCTGTAATCTATTGGTGTAATACTGGTCACCTTGTCATGTGACATTTATATATTTATTGCACGGTTTTTAACTGACCGCTGTTAGCGCTGAAAGTTCTATAGCCATTTGAGGGCTCTTTTCAGTGCAGATAACTGAATCTCCATCCGCCCGCCCTTGCTTTACATGTTGAAAAACATTTTATATTAAAAACTTTGTTTTGTTTTGTAGAATGGAAGACAAAGAAGAAATATATATGTATATATGTATTGTATAATAAGTAAACTTCACATCCTAATATATGTGTTTGTGTTTATTTTATGAATTATTTATGTTCGTTTGAGTGGCACGAAAACATAAAATAAATTCAGATGAGGATTATATAATAAATTCAGATAAGAAATTAATTTTTCTAGATGGCCAAAATGGATTTATTTCTCTAGAATATAAAGCAAACATTTTGTTTGGAAAAAATAAAGCATTGTGAGAAAACTACAACGACACAAAACAATTTAGAAAATATTTCTATCATTAAGGTGTGTAAATTTTTCTTCTTTATATGTAAATGATACATAAAAATTCAGGTACATAAAGCTCTTTTATGTTAATGACAAAAGTGTACAAAAATTTCAATTGTGGCCTAGCTTTCTTTTTATATACAGCTTCTAAAAACTATTTCTCTTTGTTTACCATATAAAATACAATTTCATGGATATGAAAAGTTTGGATGAAGGTCAATCAAATATAAAGGCAAAGTCCAAATTGATCTTCTATATATAGAAGAGATTTTATCCTTTATGTTCAATTAATTTGAGATTTCTATCTTCATCAGTTAGTATTATTTATCAAAGAAACCACTTTACCTGCTACAATAACAACAGCCAGAACAATAAGAGTTTTCATGATGGAGAGTTTGGATAGACTTGGTGATTTGATGTCTAGTATCGTTATCATAAGAAACGCGCCTTTTATATTAGGACAGAAAATCAAAAAGGTCAGGCACAGGTTCTATAATCGGGCACAAAGATAAAAGACCAACACGCGTTGGGATTTCATGTATATCAGTCGTGATTAGACCGATTTTCTTCTAATTGAGTACAAATGACATGCCATGAATAGAGGAAAGCTGATTACCCGACGATTTTGTAACCTTAAAAAAACCCTTAAAATATGTTAACGTGATTAGATAATTCTTATATATGTCATCTCATCATACAAAGATAACAGATTTACAAATATAAATGAATATGTAGATGATGGTTTTGAAATTTTCAAAGAAACCTACAGCAGTGATACAAATGATAAATTCTTTATTGTGTTCCTACAACTTCCAAAAATATTATATTATATATTATATTATATAAAAATATCATATTATATTATAAACCCTCTTTAAATAAGAAAAATGGAAATTATTTTAAATATTAAGATTTTCAAATATGTCTCGTTTTTGCTTGAATAATGTTGTTTTCAGGGGTCTGTGTTTTTTTTTTTTTTTTTTTTTTGCCCTGTTCATGATTTGTATTCTTTGTTGGATTCATGAGATTGATCACTGTTCGCTGTCTTCACATTTTTCATTTTATTTTGCTCCTTGATTTCGTTTTGTAAGTTATCTACTTAACAGTACAGGGAATTCTGTCTTGAAAAAAAAAATCGCTATAAAAATATATCTTTCCATGATATTTTCTGTAATAATCCTTCGTCTTGAGGAAATTAAATACAATCCTGCACTGTAAGATATAAATATATTTTTTAAAAAATAATAATAAAATTAAAAAATAATTGTAGAGTATATTGTAAATCTCTCTGATGATTCAAAATATTGTAAACAGAAAATGCAGTTTATAAGACAAATATCGTCTAATTGTTATATTTGTCGTAAAAATGAAATTAGTAATACTAATTTCTTTTATGTATGTAACTATTTCGTGAGTGCTGCAGCACTGTACCCACAAATCGCTTAATCACCATTCTAAACAAGAGAGGTGCATTATAAATAAACATACATCAAGGGAAATTTTTAAGGAATTTGATTCTTGTTTTTTGCCTGAATGAAAATATACAGCTGTTCAACTTTTGAGGAGTCTAAAATCATTTTGGGCTTTGATCAATATACATTTATTGCATTAAATTAAATCTGTCTGGAAAATTCAAGACAGTCAAGAAAATCTTCAAAATGAATTAATCTTCATATTTCCCGACAAATTAATGCAATAAATTGTTTATTATACCAAAACAAGCCAAGCCTTTAAAACTATTACAAACTTTCAAATTCACTTTCATTTAAAAAAGTTACTGAAACACTTTACAGAAGACCCATGGGCACTTCACAGACAGTTGTCTTTGGTTACCTTTTTTTTTTTTTTTTGATTTTTTTAAGCATCCTTAACGGAAAGAAGATTTCGTCACTGCTTGGCAGATGAAACCTCTCTACTATTGTAAATTTTGTAAAGTCTGATGCTCTTGGAAGTTTTCGTTCAAAGAACGATGAGTATTGCGGGAAGATGTCTCTGAAGAAGCTGATTATTTTAAAAGCATGACAACAATAGGGAAGTATGAAGTTTTATGGCCCTGTCACGTGAACGTCTAGAACCAATCAGATAGCGTGTTGTATAGAATAATTGTAATGAGGTATAATGTAATTAGTTTACCGATTGGATTTACAGAATTGGATATATCTTTTATAGGGTTAGTTTTAGATTTGATAGACTTTCGGGAAACCTGCAATTCTTTCTGTTGGCTAACAAGCAGAACACCAAGCTTCTTTCGGAAAAAAATAAAACTCAAAGAAAAATGCAAGAATTTTAGGTGCCAGTTCGTTCAAGGCAATCATAAGTTTAAACAAGTAAGGTACACTTTCTCAAGAAGCATGATATTTTAAAACTATGATTGTTGAAAACATCATATAGAAAAGTTGTCCGGTAAAATCGTACGTGGACTAGTATTTTTTTTTATTAAAAATTAATGAGCGTACTAGGCTGAAATTTTGTTCAAGTGATTTGAAAGAACAAATTAAACACTCGCTCTCAACCATAATGCACAAAAGTTTGCCAAATAAAGTAGATACTTTTAAATTAAATCCAAAATTGGAAATCTGAAATATTATCGCTATATTAACTTTTCCGTGTAGTAATCGTGTACATCAGATATGACTGGAAACGAGGTATAGTTCATAAATTTAATGATATCGTGAGTGGAACTATTAGTGTCTTAATGGTGATAATGATGTCCTGTTAATAATAACCGAATACAAACCTTGAAGAACTAGAAAGCAACTTTTACTAGTACGTCCATTATCGTCTGTCTTAAATAGAAAATACTAGTAAGCCACTTGTATGTTCTTGGGAACTAAGCGGGATGTCACTTCCACAGATTCCAGCTGCAATCGTAAAGGCTAGATTTGCTTTTCTTCTTAATATTAATTTTATTTTTTACAAAGCTGTAAATAAAGATTTCATAACCAGCGAGTTAGTAACCGGTTTTTCTCAAACTTGAGTTCTGTATTTTGTTTTTAATTTTCAAGAGACACGAGTATGTTTAGAAACATACACCATACCTACATTTTATGCCATCATAGGCATGATATTGGAGAAAAAACTTGGGAAGAGCAGTCAGTTAGAAATGTCGTAGGTTGAAGAAGCCAATCAGAATCGTTTTAGGTGTTTCATAACATGTTACGAATACGAAAAAAAAGACAACTGCGTTGAGTGATGAAACTTAAATTTGCTAGCAGAGGAGTAGAACATTAGTAACATTCTTAACCATAAAAAATCTCAGTCTTGCATTCCAACATATTTCAAGTTGAAATCTACACCATGTATTTCCTAAGGATATTCCCAAACTGTTGATTCCAAAATTTCTTCAAATATAAACAAACTTTGCAGTGCCTAAATATTGAACATCTAAAACAAAATTCTCTCCCGATCTTTCAATTGGCGAAAAAACTTAATTTCTAAATTTATGCTAAATTGAGCTAAATGTAAATATGATGAGGAAGACCTGAACACTTTGTCAGAATGGATTAAGTGTTTTAGAAGTATATGAAAGCATCGTATTAAAAAGTTAAAAGGTAATATGCGAACCATCTATTCTTCCGTTTCACTATACCGGAGAAGATAAAGGAATTAGAAGGACTACATGAGCAATATGTTTTCGTCTTCGTTTGTAAGGCTCATTATAATAACTATTTTAGATACTAAATACTTATTTATTACATTATACAATCAGTATAGAAAGTAAGTACATAAGCAATGTTAAATGATGCATTAGAAGTGGGTACATCGGCAATGTCCGTCAATGCAGTGATGCTGGCGTCCGAAAGTGCACCTGTCATGACAGTCTGACGCCGTTGTGCATGTTGCTAAAATAAAGTTTGAATGGTTTTGTATTATATGAACCATATTTTTATGTGAAGTATGTGTTCGATTATTATTTCTTAAATTACTCTCCTTTCCAGAGTAAGTCCAATTCAATATAAATTAAATTTTACTTTTAAAAAATAATAGAGAAACAGATCATTATCACAATTTCCACAGTTATTTTAGTAATTCTAGACAATATTGATATTATAATGAAGTCATTCTATATTTAGACAGTACAATATTAATGTCTACCTCCACCTGTGGCAGCCGTTGTACAGGTACACGTGTGGAAGATACAGTGTATTTCGGATCCAGTTCCACACGTAGTGGCAGTGCAATCCTCATGACGCCTGCAGTCTTCGGAATAGACTAAAAATGTAATTGTCAAACAGTCATTCTGATTCCTACAAGTATTTTTCTGTAATAACTTTTTCCTGTGAAGTTGATGCAACTGAGCTAAAGGTTAATATCTCAAGACAGGGTTCTAAAAGACATACATCATTTAACCTATGTAGTTTTCTTCCAATAATCTGTTGGAATTCAGATGGGATACTAATTGTGCTGCTTCATTAGCAGACCTATTTTTGTATTCCCATGAACAAGAATTTATTCAAAAGCTTCTGAAAAGACATTTAGATATATCGACGTTTTATCAATTAACAATATTCAGTTTCATTCCTACGTTGATTCAATATATCCCACTGAACTTGAAATAAAAGACACCACAGAGTCTGACACAGCTGCTTCAAATTTGGACGTTTTACTAGAGGAAGGCGTTGTTGTCAAACTGACAATTAAACTTCATGATAAACTTGTTGACTTCAATTTTTCTATCGTATTTATTTATGTAATAATACCTTATCTTCAAATGGCGTTTATGTCTCCCAGTTGATTCGATATGCAATAGCATTTACTACTACGAACAATTTCTAAAACGAGACAGGCTACTGACAAATAAGTTGATGATACATGGATATAATTAATCTCGTTTAAAGTCAACATTTCGAAAATTCTATGGTCGATACAATGACCTTGTTAGCAAATACAATCTAACGTTAAGTCGAATGGTGACTGACGTCCTTCATACAAATTGTTAGGCCATTATTTCTAACTGAATTGTCGACGGATTTTCCCGTTAACACGGTCATGACAAGGAGCACACGTGGGTGTGACCGGTCGACAGGGGATTCTTACTCTTCCATGGCACCTGATCCCATGTCTGTTTTCAGATGTAAAGTAAAAGAAATAAAAAAAAAATATTGTATTCTTCACCTTTACATTACCAGCACTTTATTTTTTTTTTACTTTACAGCAAACTTTAAAGCGATATTATTTTTATTTTTTATTATATATACAGCAAGATATTCTCAATAGTGGTACATCTGAATACTGAACATTTTCTGATATTTACCTTTATTATATTTTAGTGTTGTCAACGAGTACCCGGTTAACAGATTAACCCATCGAACGATGCGAGTATCGGTTAGGAAAACTGCCACTCGGTTACTCGGATATATAAAATTTTACATTTTAACATGTTTAAATCAGCAGAAAAAAAATGTAATTTTGTTTTTAAA